GTGCAAATTTCACACACATCAATACCTGGAAAATTTACAACAGGGACTTGTCTTCACTGGAAGCAATCAATTTGTAGAGCGAGCAGCAGAGCCCGGCCTTGGGAAGCAAAGCCCAGCTCCATTTGCATAATGTTCCATCACTTTTGAGTGCTGGTGGCTAATGGCCAGTTGGCATATCGGGTCAAGCGAGTTAAACTGAGGCTGTTGCCCAGCATTTTTCATCAAAACCAATAACATCTCAGAGATTTCAGTTCCCAGGGTTTGACACATTTGGGTAAAACAATCACACCAAAATTCGAGGGGCTAGAAAGACCAGGTTAAATTTGTCTGTAATGTTTAGAAATAAAGCAAGTTATGTTTCTTCATCAATTTCCTATTGTTCAGTTAGTGTACTGGGTGACTACATTGAATAAGTCTTTTCCTTTATTCCTGGTCTGCCCCCTTCTCCCTTCTCTCCAATAAATTTCTACTGCTTCATAAGTTAGGTATGTGGAGTCTCAAGAGTACTATTCTGGACAGACTCAAGAGGATCATTAAGTACATGGACTGACAGGACATTGGGTATAATTTTACAGTGTGATAATCCCTACTGCTCCATGTGTGTGTATATAACTCCCCTCCCTAAGTGTTCAACGTGCTTCTTCACTTATATTTACATCTCATTCCTCCTTCACCCAGAGGTGAAGGGTAACAGACAGTTATTTCTCCTGATTTTCCAAGTTGACAGATTGGTTATTTCACCCAAGAAGCCCGTGGCACAAAGTCTTCACAATGCTCATTTTATACCTGGTGTGACACCAGGCAAGAAGTTGTGGGAATTGCACCCTTGCCTGTGCCATGTTTGCCTTAAGCGAGTATCCTGGGGACACTAAGCACTGAGTGTAAAGAGCCTGTGTGTCGGGGTGGGGATGACCAGACCTGGCCTCTCCCCTGACACTACTACCACCAAGCCAGGTGGCTTAGGGCAAAGTCTTTTAAGCTCTCTGACTCTTCTACAAAGTAGGAGAGTTAAAGACATTGACCTCAAAGGTTGTTTTCCCCTTGAACCATTCACTTTCCTGCTATTGATGTGTGGCAGCCTTGGGTTAAACCTGTCCTGAGAAGGCTGCCTGGATATCCTGCTCCCAGGGAGGATGCTGAGGACCGCAGCATACGGAAACTGCATCCAGTCTAATCTGAGGTGGGGTTTATGTCTTTTTCAGCCTGGGACCTTAACACAGAACAGAAAAGTGGCTGCGAGTGAGTGGCCGGCAGCAATCACGTCACCTTCTCCACCTTCTCGTTTCCCACAGTGGATTCTCGCCAAACACCCTCCCACTGACAAAAAGCACACTGCCTCATAGCCTGGGCCCGGTCTGGACATCTCTAACCACTGGGCCAGATCACGCTTGGTGCTAGGTCCCAAGTCCCGAGGAGTCACTTTACAGAAACCGACTTCTGGGCAGAAGCAAGCGGTGCTTATCCAGGACGGCATGAGGAGCCAGGGCTCGTCCTGTCTCCACTGCAAGGGGCTCTGGGGATCTTGTGCTCTGTGAAGAGCCTGCGTGTTCTCAGAAGGAAGCAAACGTGCCCTGGACGTAAATCCAAAGCTCGCACAGAAGGGTTCCCAACAGACTGATAGTCCCTCAAAGTGATACTTGAGTCTTCAAGGTAAAAGAGTAGGCACTCAGCCAGGGCTCCTGAGGGAAGTTCTGGGGGCAGTCGTTTCTTTTATTTTAACCATTTTCCTCCAGACGATCATTCCCTGTTTGGGCACCCTGAGGGCTGAGCAGGACGGCATCCTCAAATACATCTTGGCCCACAAGCTGGTTTCTGTCCAAGAAGCACCCTGCCTCCTCCTGCCCCCTTCCCCTCCCCCTCCTTTGGAAAGTTCTTCAGTAAACATTTAGCTGTGACTAATGTGCTGATTTACAAGTTGTACGCACCCCCTAACCAAGGAGAAAAGCTGGCGGGACTTTCTGGATGGCATAACAGCCTTGCCAAGGGATGCCCCAAAGCCATTAACAAGCCAAGGTGACAGACACATGGTTAAAAGGTGAAAAGAGAACCTTGGGGGCAATGAGCCATTAACATGAGAGAGGAGAGAAATCAAGTGTGAAGTGTAATGCTGAGCAGGGTCTCAGGGCTGAACCCTCTATCAGTCCCTTGTGGAGCCTTCCAGTCCAGGCCAGTTGGGTCCAGTGTGATGGCCCATTGAACTTCTTTGGGTAGTAAGTGGCGTGGGTATGATAACTAATGAGATGGAGAAGCTCAGATATTATTAATAACTTGGCCAGTGGGTTCAGAACGTTATAGATTTTTAAATATTAACTTCAAGAAATTATCATCCAACTCAAAAGTTAGCAGCCATCATGCAGATGCCGGTTAGATCCCTCGGGAGTCCCTGAGGTTATTCCACAAGGCCCTTCCTTACGTTCCAGCAGTTAACATCGATGGCTCTCGGAGCATTCTTTCCTAACATGAACCTAACTTACCCCAAGGCCATTTCAGGTTGATTTCTTTGTGCTAGAGAAACAGTGAGAGGTGGTGGGAAAGAGGAGTTAACGGGGACAGATTTGAACTCCTAGGATTTCCTACTGTGCAATTTGGGACAAAATAATTCATGTCTCTGGGCCTCAGCTTCCTTGTCAGAAAAACATGGGTAAGAATGACCATGATTCAGGGATACTGTAAGAATAACGTTAAGACACAACCTTCAGGAATTGCTGGCGCAGTGTCTGACACTGAGAAGCACTCTACAGTGAACTTGAATCTTCCTGACTCTTCAACATGAATATGTATTAGGTTAGATATGAGGGGGGCTGGGTGGGAGGGGGTGGAGGTGATTGTCTTAAGGTATGTGGCTGAGACGAAGTAAGGGGACTCAAGGTACACTGCCCTCAGCACCTGGTAGAGGACCCTCCATTTGCCCACTCATATCCCTGTGCCTCACAGAGATGTGGAGTTACGCGGACCCCACATTGCACTTTCTGTGGCTGCTGTGGCATCTCCTTCGGTGTAGCCGTCCAAAGTCAATCAGAAGAGAAGTCACCTTTGTGCCTCTGACTGCCCTGGTATTTCTTACCTCCATATTCTTCAGGCTGATTCTGAGCTGGGAAAAGACACGTGGGATCAATATTAGGGCACCATGTCTGTGGAAACAGTACACATAATCTGGGTTTGGGAAAAGTGTCATTTATGAACCGTAATAGAAGTTTTACATTTCTCCCCAGGAAGGGACCAACAATTTCTCTTCCTGACTCTTCTTCGTCCACCTATCCTCTGGCATAAACATAGTAGAATATAGCTACACTTTTTCTGAAATGTCTTACAGCATTTAAATGAATAATCCTACCATGCTTTATTTAAAAAGAGATTTTTAAAAAGTTGCTCTAGGATTCTCACCTGGTGCTACTTCAGTGATATATAAGTTGAATTTGAAAGTGATATCCTTGAGAAATACTGAGTGAAGGCAAAAGAAAAAAATAAATAAGCCTGGAAAACTCAGTTCTTAGGCGGTTTTGTCAATAAAATTACAAAGGAGGCAAGCAACTGGTCACAGATCTTCTAAGGCTAAATTGGATGTCCACTGTAAAGAGGAGATTTTTCAATGCTGAACATTCCTAGCACAAACTTCACAGTTTCATAAATTATGATTTTATTTTCACAGCCATATGTCTCCTCCTGAAGCAGCCGGGTCTCTGACAACTCAATTTATATTTGCACAGGACATTATATCATGTGCTGTCATGATACCGTGTATCTTCAAGGACGTGATGTCACACTTCAGAATCAATTTTTCTTAATGGGCATTTCAACAGCTCTTGCTTGGGGGTGGGGTGGGGTGGAGATGTCTGCTGGAGGACAGTGAGCAGTACAGGCATTAGACAGGGACTGCACCTCACAGGGGAGAGCTATGTGCTTCGCCTTGGCCTCAGTCTCACTGAGAACATTCTTTAAAGTCATGCTCACGCTCAGGGTCCCAGTTCATCCATCTGTGAAATAGTATGAAAAAGTATGTTTGGTAACTAGTAAACAAAACAAAGCATAACATAAAATCCTATAGCGATGGGGTCAGTAGATCTTTTCTGTAAAAGTCCAGACAGTGAATAATTCTGGCTCCCAGGTAACGCTGCCATCGTAGCATGAAAGCAGCCACAGATGATGTCAACGGGTGGGCAAGGCCGTGTTCCAACAGAACGTCATGGATGGATATTATGGACACTGAAATTTGGATTTCATGTACTTTTCATGTGTTGTGAAATATTCTTCTTTTAATTTTTGCAACCATTTAAAAATGTAAGTGTAAATTTTCAGTTCACACAGGCTGTACAAAAATAGCCAATGGGCTGGATTTGGCCTACAGTCTGTCATTCGCTGACCCCAGCTCTGAGAAAAGAAATCTTTACATATCAAGAAATGCATAAGCTATTTTTATGTCAGCTTAATTCTTGTGCAGTATGAATCATGCAAACTTTGATTTCTCTTTCATGTCACTGACAACTCAATGAGGGATTATAAAACAGGGGTGGAATTTTATCTCTCTCCAGAGGCACAGACACCGTCCCAAAGGAAAGAAGCCTGAGGGACCGATGTGCACACACCTTACAGACACATGAGCTCTGCCTGTGTACAGGCCACAATGTGTACACAGGAGGAGGCAGAATCTGGGCGAGAGATAGAGTTCTTTTAAAAGGATCAGAAGCCGCAGAGCTACACTCCCTCTGTTTAATAATCACAAAGCTGGACTTAGAATTCTTATCAAACCATTTCGGCGGGGTCTGCATCATTTCAGCAATTTCAACAAACTGTCCCAGAGAGGAGAAAGATTAGACTGTGTATGTTTATTCTCCGTGGAGTCATGGCTATGTTCTCTTCACGAGAATGAGATATGGAAATAAAAGTTTACTTAGTGCCGTCTCTGATGATGGGTTCCCGTGACGGGGCAAAGTTGAGCTCACATGTTCAGGTGACTGGAAGAAAAGCTCCTTCCCTCCGGAAATGCACATTCTTTTTTTTTTCTCTAAATGGAACGCTTCGCGAATGTGCGTGTCATCCTTGCGCAGGGGCCATGCCAGTCTCTGTATCGTCCCATTTTTAGTATATGTGCTGTCGAAGCCAGGGCAGAAATGCACATTCTTAAGGGAGAAGGAGGAGGGGCCTGTGCTCTCTGCATCAGCTGTACCTGGGTCTGGTGGGAGGCCTGGGGAAGGGTCCTGAAACCAGGGCAGGATAGGATGGGCAAGTCGGTGCAGTGAGAATCCCAGGATGCTGGAGCTGGAAGAGACCCTTTAGAATCATTCCTTCCCACCTAGAAAGGGAGAAACAGTGACCTGGGAGGGTGCTGCCAGGGGCAAATGGCAAATGACTGGGCTTGGGGTAGGACCCTGGGCATGCAACTGGATCCTCACTTCCTCTGCAGGCCTCCAGCTGCTCAGCTGTGAGAGGCCCAGTGCCAGGGGAGATGGTTCTGAGGCCTGCACTGTGCCAGCATTCTCTGTTAAACACTGGGCACTGTTTGCATTACTTTGGATTTCAGACAGCTCTGCTAATACTGTCACACTTTACTACGGAAGGAGAAGATAATGCCAACCTGAGGAGAGGGAGAAAGTGGCCATCTGGGCATGTATAGCCAAGGCATTGACTTTAAACTCTTCATGCATATGGACTAAGAAGGCTTGTACTTACTGAGTACATCCTCCAGGTTGGGGATCTCCCTAGGTTTTCTCACTGAATCCTTACAAGGACCACATGAAGCTACAAAGTTACCTCTCTCAGCTACAATTTGTAACTTTGCCCCAAGTTATAAAGCCAGTGATGGGCACAGCCCAGTGTTTGGAGCTGAGTCTGGTTGGCTCCAGATGTGTTAAAAATAACACACCATATTTCAGGGCAGAAAAGCTAAAAGATCAACAAAGTAATTCTCCCTTATGCTGCAGGGCAAAGATCAGATAAAGCAATTTTTCATTTATTAAAAAAAAATTAAATAAATAAATTACCACCAACAAGCTTCTATGTTCTCTTTCCTACTTACCATGCCTTCCCTTAAATCTTAGAGGCTAGGAACCAATTTAGTGGCAAAAATATCCTTTGCCACTGTACTCGGGAGATAGGCAAGCAACTTCAGCATGTACCACCTGAGTCAGGGGGCCTAGAGGTGGCAGAAAGTGGGATGGGCTGGAGCCTGTGTCAGAGGTTTCCCTGCACTCAGGGCTCTGCTGGTGCTTTGCTTGACTGGCCATAAGTGACCAGAGTCCTTCGCTCTTCAGGTTCACGGGCCATTTCCAACTGCCATTAATGAAATGTGTTATTCCGAGGAGCTGACTGCCAGGAGAGACCAGATGGATGTTTTCAATGTGGATGTGCAGTTGTGTGGGGGAGCCTCAGAGGACAGAGAGGGAGAGCTGGTCCCAGCCTAGGGGATTCCTGCATGTGTGTCCATTGATACTGAATGCCTGGTGCCGCCAGTCTGTTTCTCGCTGTCACAGGCAGCTGGTGAGGAGCTACAGCTGTACTGGGGGCAGTGTCAGAGAGGCCAGAGGGGCAGCCTTGTAATCCGGCACTCCAGGGACTGGGAAGATGGGCGTGGGTGGGAGAATGTGGCTGTGGGCACCCTCGGGAAATAGTTCTAGCCCCAGATTTCAGTTTATCTTGGGTGGAAAAGGAGTTCCCCTTCAATGACTTGGCCAAGAATGTTGATGTCACAGGGAAAGGGAATAGAGTTTGATTGTGTGTCACACAGAACTGGAAACAGGCTGCTTAGAGGGGCGCCCTTATCAATTAGGTAATGTCTGCTAATGTTTGAGGAACTGTGTTCTGCAGTGCTCCAGCTGTTGATGTGTTAGCAAACATCTCCAAAAGGCATGGCACCTTGTGGGAAAAGGTTTTCTTAGACTGGGTCTGATTGGCTTCAGCCCTAAAAGACAGACATGCCCAATAGCATCACAGAATAACACAGCAGAAATGTGGACTGGGCATAGCAGGCAGCTATGGGTGGGATTTGGTTTCAATTCCAGGGAATAAACATGTATTTGTGCACAAATGATGCCTATAACTAAATTTTCTTCCCCCACTTCCTCCTTTCTGCCTTCCCCATTCTGTCCTCTTTTCTCCTCCTTTCTTGTTTTCTTCTTCCTTCTTTTCTTCCCTTCTCCATTTTCTCCTTCCCTTTCTACAGCCCTCCCTCTCCCTTCTCACCTCTCCCCCTCCTCCCTTCTTTTATTTCTTTCTTCCCTAAAATAGCAACATTTAATGATGTCCAATGTCCACAACTTTGGGTGAAGTGCTACGCGTACAAAGATAGTAACAGTGCCTGTCCTCAGAGGCGTCATCACAGTCAGAGGGATAAAATGAACATGTAAATGCTACACATAAAAATATGTGAGCAAACACAAGGATAGCCGTCTACTAGGACCAATGCCTATACTTTAAAAAATTGTTATAATAGATTTTATTTAATATTTTTTCTCTCTCCTCTCTTTTTAAAAATAACACATCATATTTCAGGGCAGGAAAGCTAAAAGATCAACATGGTAATTTCCAGTCTCATCAACCAGTAATAGAAATATCTGAAAGAAATACATATTTACATGTTTACATATGTGTGTAGAACCTCCATAGTTGACCATCTCCTACATTGACCACCCCCTTCAACTGACTTAATTTTCATAGACGGACATGCACCACATGTACATGTCAGTACAACAGGCTTAGTTCCTTATGTTGAACATCTCTATCAGTTGACCAGTTGGTTACAGTTGCTTAGATGGTCAAGGTGGGCTATGAATATTCCATTCACAATAGCTTTGGCAAAATTCCCAATATTTTATATAATGTATTTTTACAGAAATTCCTTTTTAGATAATTTGTATCACTATTTTATTTGCTTTTGGTAGAGAATTTTAGAAAAATTATTTACCATTTATAAGTAATTTGGGTTTTAATGTAAATAATTTCTTTAAATTTCTGGTTTACCGCATTGTCACCAAGAATATGACCTATTAGTTTACTTTTTACTTTTGGAAAATTCTGTGGCTCTTAGAGAAAGTCTGGTCCCTAATTTATATTTCATTTGATAGAAAGAAAGAGAGACTCAAGTTTGCATTTCTAATTTTACTTGTTTCTCTCTCAAATATTAGAAGGAAACTTCTAATCGTAACCAACTCTTTTATACACTCCCGATCACTCATTCTCCTATTTTAGCAGAATTCTCTCAGCCTGTTCATTTTATCTTGATGCCTTTCTCTTCCTTCCCCTTTGCTATTGTGGTAGAAAACATGTAACATCAAATCTACCTTCCTAACCATTTTTAACTATACATTTGTGCAATGTTAAGTATATCCACATTGTTGTGCAACAGATCTCTAGAACTTTTTTATCTTCCAAAATTGAAACTCAGCCCTAAGCAGCTTTCTACTCTCTGTTTCTATGATTTTGACTGCTTTATAAACTTCATATGAGTAGAATTATGTTCTTTTTTGATGGGCTTATTTCTCTTAGAATAATGTCCTTGAAATTCAACCATATTGTCATATATCACAGGATTTTCTTCTTTTTTAAGGCTGCCTAATATTCCATTGTATTTATACACCATGGTTTCTTTTGTTTTTCTTTACAGTCACTTTTGAAGTACTCCCATTGGTCATTTGGTAACCATAGAGATATCCAGCAATGAGGTAAGTAGCACTTTTTCTACTATGAGTTCATGAACTTAATTGTCAGACTTAATACAATGATAGTTCTAATAGGCATCCAGAAAAAGATTACAAAAATTTTCTGAAGGCACTGGCATCAGTGCATAGCTTTTCAAGAGAAGTGATATTCAACAATGAGGTATGAAGCACTTCTTTTAGAATGAGTTTGTGAACTTAATTGTCTGACTTCATAGTGCTTTTTCTCCCTCACATCTGCGAAGCTGGTAGCCATCTTTAGAAAGTGGTAGAAAGAAAAGGAACTAAGGGGACAGAAGAGGAGGGGAAAGACTCTTAACCTCATCCACTGGTAAATTTTGACTCCTCACATTAAAATCATGACTACTATGTTCTATGTGTTGGTAAATTTTATGCCATAATTTTGATTAAAGTTTAGTATATTAATGTATCTGTCTCTGAAGTTTAAATTGATTTTTTCCATATGAAACTACTGACCTATTATCAGACAAGCTTAACCTATTTACATTTATTGTTATAATTTATATATTTGATCTTAAATCTGTGATTTTGTGATTTCTGGATTTTATAATTTCTTGATTTTTTCCTCATTTTCCTTTTTAGAAAATGAAGAAAAAGAATGTATTTTCTTTTCTTTTAGCATCCTTACTATATAGTCCATTATAAATTCTAATAGTTAATGCCATTAAATTATTTAAAAACATTACTCATTTTAAAAAAATGTGAGTGAAGTTTAAGTTTAGTGTTGTCAATAGATACACTGGTCATATGCTTTATCTACCAGTGATTGTTAATTCCTGTGGAAGGTGGATTATTATCTATAGCTTTCAATACAATTTTCGGTATGTCCCAGGATTTTACCTATCATTGCTCTACTGGGTGGTATTCTTGACTATTTTGTTTTATGACGTAGTAGAATAGGAAAAAGCCACAACTCCAAGAATGAGTTGCCTCCAAGATCCTTGCCACCATCACCCCAACTATTCCTGTTTTTGGAGAATATCACCCACCAGAATGTCATAAGTCATCATTTTTTGCCTTCTGGCATTTTGTTTTCTAAGAGTTGGTGGAAGAAGGGACATTGATTGGAAACACAACACTGTCCATTTCATAAGTCAACAGCCATATGGAAAGAAGAAGGTACAGACAAGGTAGGTTTGCATATCTAAGAAGCTTGGTAACTGGGATGGTCTTTCAGAGTTGTTCAGAACAGAGCAATGGGTCAAATGGCATTGGAAGGTGTGATGACCTTGAGTGAGGAGCTATCTTCAGCTAAAGCCATCACTGAGAGAGCTCAGTTATGGGCTGTATTCTAGGAGAACTCCTAGCAGCTGTAGAACGATTTCTCTGACCCTGAAGGGGAATCTAGGTGGCACACCAGTATCCCACTCATAAATATATCATCATTTATGTAACGTCAACATGTTTTCTACCTCCTCCCTAAGATGTGAGCTTT